CGCCGAGCCGTCGTTGGACGGGCCCACGCCGCGTCCGAGGGGCATCCGCACTCGCGCGCCCCGAACGTGACAGGGTCACCCTGTATATATTATGAATTATTGAATGATATGTATATTGGCTACGTTCGGAAACGTCACTCGGATGCCTCCGATTCATCATCTGTCCTTGTTTAACATTTAATGTTAAACAATAACAGATGAATCCGAGACATCGGAGGCATCTGAGCGACGTTCCCGAACGTAATCATTATATCTTTATTATTTATTTAATTCAAATGGTAATATCTTTATTATAATTTTCATACAATGAAACCTAAGTATACGTATATCTTATCGTATAAAGATTTGATGTCAGCAATTGATGCTAAGTTAAATTCTATAAATTCTATCAAGTTAAATTTTATTAAATTTTATAAATTTTATCAAGTTAAATTTTACTCGTCGTCGGCCGGATTCTTGGATCAGGATGCTCGCGTAGCGGTCTAGGATTGCTAACGGGCTTATTGGATCTGGATCGTAGGCAGATCATACAAAAAGCCGTTCTGATAAAATGAGTTGTCTTTTATACTTGGCAAATTTTACCAGCGCCGCAATCTCATTATAGTTCGGCTCGGTTCGCGGTTTCCCGCTGATCTGTACCCGCACGTGCGTGTCTATACAAGATGACTCACGAAGGGTAGCGATCGGTGCTATTCGACCACTTTCGCGTGACTTTCGGTACCTATACACATTCTATTTTAATTTAACGGGAACGATGCTGTTCTCGGGGGTGCATCGTTACAAATAAACTTTTTTGCAATATATTATAGATTCCTTGTTATTTGTATCTTTTTGTAAGTCTTTGTATGGTAAATACGGAATTTGTGACATCAATCCTCGCAAGTATAATTCGAAGTTTTTAATGTAAATTTGTAGTTTTGAAAAATAAAACTTAAAATTATAACTCTCGAAAATGTCAAATAACATAAACATTAATGGGCTAATGAGAGTCACAGCTGCGGTAATTCGTGCGAGAAAGAAACAATTTTTATTATGTATAATACTTATTAATTTTAG